TAACAGATGGGACTCTGAAAACTCCTTGGTCATGTCTTGTTTCATTAACTCCATATAACCTCATATTGTTCAAACATATCTGTTGCTCAACATCGTCGCAAAAATATGGAATGCAGTGTTTCTTATATATTCATAAGTGGGTAATGATGATCAAATTTATGAACTCCGAAATAAGATTCACAACACAAAATAAGAAGAGTTGAATATCTCTCAATATTTTTCTGAACTCAGTAGACTATAGTAGGAGCTCGATTATTATCAGGATTTTCAAATAGATTGTCCAGGGGATGCTGTCAAATTTCAGAAAATGATAAAAAATGAGCAGATTTATGATTTCTCTGCTGGTCTAAATGTTGAATATGATCAGATATGGGTTCAGGTACTTGGAAAAGATCTCCATCCCTTATTAGAACAAACTTATTCTTACGTGTAAGAAGAAGAAAGTAGAAGAATTGTCATACTCCACATAGCACAAATTGAGAAAGCTGAGTTAATTGTTCAATCTGATTACTCCAAAGACCAACGGAGTTGTGACTATTGTGGGAAGTCTAGACACACTAAGGAGACTTATTGGAAATTGCATAGACAGTCTACTAAAGGACGTGGGGGAAGGAAAGGTGGGTGTATTACAAGCAAATTTGGTTGAGGCAAGTGAAACACCCCTGACACACCAACAGTTGGAACTTTTTCCACCGAATAGATTTAGAGTTTAAAGCGCATTCTGTCTTAACTTAACTTTTCAACAATTATTGGTGCATTACATATGGTAAAATTAAGTATTCCTTCTCTCCCTCTTCTTTCTACTCCTGATATTTGAATTATAGACTCTGAAGCTAACAGACACATGATAGGTTCTTCCACTAAATTTCTAATATATTTTTCTTGTACTAAAAAATAAAATGTTTGTATAGCGAATGAGTCATGCATTCCTGTGTCTGAAACAAGTTCCATTAATTATACCCTGACTATTACACTGTCTTCAGTTTTACATGTGTATAATTTTCCTAATAACCTTTTATATATTGTGCAATTACTAAAGAGTTAAACTGTAAAATTGAACTTTTCTCTGATTAATGTGTCTTTTAAGATTTTCGAACATGGAGGATGATTGACACTAGTAGACTGCAGGATGACTTATATATTTTGCAAAGAAGTAAGAACCCAATTGGGAATGCTACAATAGCACCGGCAGTTGGGCCAACCTTCTTTTTTTATTTTAAAAAAATTATATCATATTTTGTTTAAGAGAAATTCTATGGATTCTTTATTTGTAATGCATGTGAATTTGTTAAACATAAAATGAGTTCTTATCATTTGAGTAATAATATAAGTTTTGTTCCTTTTATGACTATTCACTTTGATGTGTGGAGATCTACTCAGAATATTTCTTTATCTGGTCATCGATGGTTTGTTATGTTTATTGACTGTTGTACTCGATTGACATATATTTATATGTTGAAAGCAAAAAATGATGTATTTTCATACTTATAAGTATTTCATAAAATGATATGTACACAATTTGATGCTAAAATTAAGATTTTGAGAACTAATAATGGTGCAAAATATATTGATAGCGGGTTCTGTACTTACTTGGAGTCAAATGGGATAATTCACCAGACAAGTTATGTTTACACTAGTGAACATAATGAGATTGCTAAAAGAAAAAATAGACACATATTAGAGATAGTTCGGTCACTAATGTTCACCATGAATCTACCTAAAAGTTATTGGGGAGATGCAATTCTCTCAGCTGTCTACCTTATTAATAGAATGTTTTTGCGGGTCCTTAATTTTAGAAGTTTTTTGGAGATTTTGTAATGTACAAATTCCTATACTATTCTTCCAAAAGTGTTTGGATGTGTTTGCTTTGTCCATGCCAGAAATGTGAGCAAACTGAAAGCTAAAGCTCTTAGGTGTGTATTTGTTGAACATTCTCCAACTCAAAAGGGTTACAAGTATTATCATCCCCTATCTAGAAAATAGTTTGTGACTATAGATGTTACGTTTAGAGAATCTGAATCATACTTCAGTTCCACCGTAACACCTCATCAGGGGGAGAGTTAAATGGAAGAGGTGATGTTCAGTTCTGTAACTCTCAACAGTCATATTCAGGGGGAGCACTCTATGTAAGAAGATCTTATTCAAGAAGAAAATGCTGAACAATTGAATAAACTAGATCTAAGGAAGTATTCAAGGAGAGATAAGATAGAAAAAGTCATCATGCAGTTTATCTCAGGTCAAGAATCTTCTTTAGTTCTTGAAGATACAAGTGAGTCATCTTTACTTTGTGAATTATCTAATAAACCCATTGTTCTTAGAAAATGAATCAGAACTTGCACTAAGCATCTTATGTCTAACTTTGTTTCTTATGACTCTCTATCTCCCACCTATAGAGCCTTTATCTTATGGTTTTTTTCTATGTCTATTCCTCAAGATTGGAGAGAAGTTCTAAAAGATACCAAATAGAAGGAAGTGATGATTGAAGAAATGAAAGCATTGACAAAAAATGAAACATGTGAATTTGTTTCAATTCTACAAGCAAAGAAGATATTTGGTTGCAAGTGGATGTTCACTGTAAAACAAAAAACAGATGGGTCGATTGAAAGATATAAAGCTAAACTAGTGGGTAAAGGGTTTACTCAAACCTATGGAGTTGACTACTAAGAAACCTTCACACCTGTCGCAAAAATGAACACAACCAAAATATTATTATTCTGTGTTGCTAATCTTGATTGAGACTTACATCAGTTTGATGTAAAAGAATGTCTTTCTCCATGGGGATTTAGAGGAGGAAGTATACATGAAAATTGCACATGAATTTGAAGATGAAAGAACACAAGTGAAGGTTTGCAAATTAAAAAAAGCCTTTTATGAATTAAAATAGTCTTCAAGAGTATGGTTTGAAAGGTTCAGAAGAGTTATGATTGCTTTTGAATATCAGCAAATTAATACTGATCATACTCTATTTATCAGGCATTGTGAGGGTATGATCACTCTTCTCATTGTTTATGTACACGATATTGTGGTGATTGGAGATGATACAAAAGACATGACTCGATTAAAGGGACTTCTTACTCGAGAATTTGAAATTAAAAATCTTGTAAAATTGCAGTATTTACTGAGAATTGAGGTTGACAGATCTAATAAAAGAATTTTTATCTCTCAAAGAAAGTATATCCTAAACTTGTTAGAAAAGACTGGTAT